AAGAAGATATGCAAAATAGCACCATAGTCTAGATGTAGCCAAAGATATTTTATTCTTTTTATTCCTAGTTTCTCCATGAAGATTCCAATGAAACTTTGCTAACACTGAAGATGGTTCAGTATCTCCATTTAACAAGTGAAGTGAGTTATTTATTCTTATTTATTTTGTGAACAGTTGTGACTCGTGTTATATCTACACTGAGGAATATGGGGATATAAAGTGCCCCCTTAACCCCTGCAGAGCTGACCTGCACTGGCATCTTTGGTGCCGATTATGTCAAAATGATAGAATCATAGAATACTAGGACAGGAAGGGACCTCGAGAGATCATCGAGTCCAGTCCCCTGCCCTCATGGCAGGACCAAATACTGTCTAGACCATCCCTGGTAGACATTTATCTAACCTACTCTTAAATATCTCCAGAGATGGAGATTCCACAACGTCCCTGGGCAATTTATTCCAGTGTTTGACTGCCCTGACAGTTAGGAACTTTTTCCTAATGTCCAACCTAAACTTCCCTTGCTGCAGTTTAAGCCCATTGCTGCTGCTTCTATCCTCAGAGGCCAAGATGAACAAGTTTTCTCCCTACTCCTTATGACACCCTTTTAGATACCTGAAACCTGCTATCATATCCTCCCTCAATCTTCTCTTTTCTAACCTAAACAAACCCAATTCTTTCAGCCTTCCTTCATAGGTCATGTTCTCTAGACCTTTAATCGTTCTTGTTGCTCTTCTCTGGACACTTTCTAATTTCTCCACATCCTTCTTGAAATGCAGTGCCCAGAACTGGACACTATACTCCAACTGAGGCCTAACTAGCACAGAGTAGAGAGGAAGAATGACTTGTCATGTCTTGCTCACAACACTCCTGTTAATGCATCCCAGCATCATGTTTGGTTTTTTTGCAACAGCATCACGCTGCTGACTCATATTCAGCTTGTGGTCCACTATAACCCCTAAATCCCTTTCTGCTGTACTCCTTCCTAGACAGTCGCTTCCCATTCTGTATGTGTGAAACTGATTGTTCCTTCCTAAATGGAGCACTTTGCATTTGTCTTTATTAAACTTCATCCTGTTTTCCTCAGACCATTTCTCCAATTTGTCCAGATCATTTTGAATTATGACCCTATCCTCCAGATTAGTCACAACCCCTCCCAGCTTGGTATAATCTACAAACTTAATAAGCGTACTTTCTATGCCAATATCTAAATCGTTGATGAAGATATTGAAGAGAGCCGGTCCCAAAACAGACCTCTGCGGAACCCAACTTGTTATACCTTTCCAGCAGGATTGTGAACCATTAATAACTACTCTCTGAGTACAGTTATCCAGCCTTTTTTCCCACTGAAAGAAGGGCCTATCGTAATTTGAGGAGGCATTCTGTATTTTGGAAGAAATGAAGCCAGATTTGTTTCCCATTAATATTCACATTCATACTCTGTTTAAAAGTTCTAACTGTTTCTCTATGAGGTCATTGGAAACTGGATGGCATGTGTATATTTAAATATGTTTTATGCCATTCCTGAGGATGCTTCACTTTAGGTGAGTCTACGTATCTACACCTGAGATTGGAGATTCTTAGTAGCATTTGAGCAGCAGGTGGGCTCCCTCTATTTCATGCTGCCCTCTGGTGGCTATAGGGCACTGTGCAGCCAAACCATTCTCAGTTCAAACAACAAATGGTCTGGTAACACACCCCACTTCTTCAGATGACCGGAGTTTTGAGTTTAGGATGTGCAGACCCAAAATAAATAGGAGAGAAGGGGGGAGGAAAAAAAGGAGGAGGGTGGGAGACAGGGAGCAGAGGGTATGGAAAATCAAAGAGTAAAACAGGAAAGTAGAGCTGGGAGTCAGTAAGTATCTGAAGATTGGGTAGTTAAAATGAAGCAGATAAGAATCAAAGTCAATAGATAGTATCCTTTCAAACATAGGAATCTACACAAAGAGCTGTTTGCACCTTCATTGAATATTAGGTCCCAGCCATCCTTTATCACGATTGAGTCCATTAGCATTTGGGACAAAAGCCTATTCTCACTTACAGACAACCTCCCACCCTGAAGCGAATTATTTCCAGTAACCATGCCACACAACCACATCATAAGAATCCAGGAACCCAGCCCTGCAACCAAATGCGATGTCAACTCTGCCCATAACTGGAGCCAACAACATAAGCTACCAAATCAAAAGGTAATTTGACTGCATATCCAGTAATTTGATCTATGCCATCAAATGCCAGCCGTGCCCCATATTTTGGACAAACTGGACTGTCTCTGTGGGAAAGAATCAATGGACACAAATCAGATATACATAAAGGGAACATACAGAAACCTGTTGGGAAACACTTTAATCTTCCTAATCACTGTTTAAAAGATCTTCAAGTGTCTGTCTTGTCACAAAACCAATTCTACTATCCAAATGCACAGAGAAGTATTGGAATTAGAATTCATCTGCAAATTGAATTCTCATGCTAATGGACTCAATCGTGATGAAGGATGGTTGAGAGACAATCAACCTATAAAGTGCTACCAGACCATTTATTGTTTTTTCCTGTACAGACTAACTCGGCTATCCACTTTACTTGGCCTGAGATGGAGCCCTCAGCAGCATCTCCTTAGTTTCTTCATGTTTACCTTTTACCATAATAATAGCGTTATTATGGCCTTTATGTGAAGGATGATTGCTTGAAAGCATTACAAGTAGATGACTTTTCTAATATTTATGTTTTTAGATGTACCGTCCGTTTGGCCTTTATGTTGTTCTGATTGGATTGGAGCTTTGGATAGAAAGGGATCTCATTACAATTACTGACCGTTTGGAGCAGGTTATTGGATTTTATAAAAACTATGTTCAGAATTTCCTTATGAATCGTGTACATTTCGACCACACACAACTAATAGCGTAAGATTCTTTTCATTTAATCTTTTAAATAGGGTAATGCTGTTCTTTGTACTTATAAATATCAATATTAAATTCAGATGTTGAAGATATTTGCAAGGTTTTGTTTGGAAACTAGAAAAAAGAACCCCCAAATGTATTTTTTATTCTCCTGCATAATCCAGCTAGCCAATGCAATATTAGATTTTCCCCTGGATTCTATAATCTAAAAGGCATGAGCAGATTGATAGTTTCCACCCACTTGGGGAAATCCTTAGTTTATTTATCCCCTATGTAACATCATAGAGGGCTTCCAGAGCTCCTTATACCCATTGTACAAATCATATGAGAAACACTACACAAATTCTAAATGTTTGACCTGTCCTGTTTCTTATTCAATTTGTTTTTGTGATTTGGGGGGCAGATTGTCTCAGGTTTCAGATATATGGTGCACTGCTTTATTCACTATTCAAGAACCAGGCTCTCAGTTTGCTAGGAGCTGTGCAAATATTAATAGATTATAAATCTAGATGTGACTGTTTGATCTTGCCTATCCTGAGTAACACAGATCAAAGGACTTGCCAGAATAAATTCCTGTTTGAACTAGAGCATATCTTTTAGAAAAACATCCAAACTTATTTTTAAAATTGTCAGTCATGAAGAATCTACTACAGTCTTTGGTACAATGTTCCATTGTAAACTACCCTAACTTTTATAATATGTGCCTTATTTCTATCCTCAACTTCCAGCCATTTGATCCTAAAATAATAGAATCATAGAATACTAGAACTGGATACTATAAAGCTATCTTGCTATAGCTTTGCCTGATAGAAAATTACAAAAAAAAACAACCCACGCACAACCTTAAAAAACAACTAATGGTCCTGCAGCACCTTAGAAACAAACAATGTAGATGGTATAATGAGCTTTCATTGACACAACCGACTTCTTCAGATAAATGGAGTGACAGGATCCAGGGTACAAATAAATAACAGAGAAAGAGAGGGGATGGGGAGGGAAAGAGAAGGAAAAAAAGGGTACGTCTACACAGCAGCATTATTTTGGAACAATTGACATTATTCTGAAATAATGAATTCCATGTCTACACTAGAAGCAGTTATTTCAACATAATGTCAAAATAATTTTGAGCTGGAGGACTTCTTACACCAACTCCTGTAACTCTCATTTTGTGGGGAGTTAGGGAAGTCAAAGGAAGAGCGCTCTTCCTCAGAATTCCTGTTGTGTAGACAGCACCAAAAGCCAGAATAATTGATGTAGCTGAAGTTGGATCGCTTATTTTGGCTTTAGCTCTGCTGTATAGACATGCCTTTAGTGTGTCCATACTAAATTAGGCTAATAGAGTGGGCTGTAAGTACCCAGTATTCATGTGTGGGAGGTGCAGCTAAGGCTGGGGTAGGCAGACCCCCAACCCCACCTACAGCCCCGCTCCCTCCACTGAGGCCTTGCCCACATCACAGGAAGAGTGCCCCTTCCCCGTCCTCCCCAAGGAGGAGAGGAGCGCTTGCTCCCAAGTCTCCTCACTCCCAGGAGCAGCGGGAGGGAGGTGGCTGTGGCTCGAGCCTCCCCATCCCGGGTAACAGTAGGAGTGAGGCGGCCTCAGCCTGAGCTGGCCCAAACCTCCCCAGCCCCAGTAGCAGCAGGAGGGTGGCAGCTATGGCCTGAGCCGGACCAAGCCTCTCCAGCCCCGGTAGCAACAGGAGGGAGGCAGCCCAAGCCTCCCCACTGCCAAGTGCACAGCTGAGGAGGTTCCAGCTGCTCTGCATTCCCAGCCACCCTGGAACCTGCCTGAGCCACACTAACTATTTTCCTCAGCAACCCCATGTGGCTGTTAGAGGCAGGGAGGGGAGGGGCCAGGCAGGGCCAACACAGCTCAGCTCTGAGTACACACTGCCTTGTTTTGCCCTAAAGACCAGACACCCAGTACTTGGCTTTTTATGTCATTAGGGTGTGGAATGTAGCAGCCCAGCCAATTCAAGTCTTTGTTCAAACCTTGATTACAGGTGTCAGATTTGTAAATTAAAACAAGTTCCATAACTTCTCTCTCCAGCTGGTTTTTTAAAATTGTTTATAATATAGTCACTTTTAGATCCATTTGTGAGCTCCTGGGTAAGTTAAAATGTTCCCCAACAGGGAATTACAAAATAAGGCACTATTCTGACAGATCCCTTATCTCTATGGAATGAGGGTTATAGGGATGCCAGAATAGCACACCTACCGTAATATTTCAGGAAATAGCAGGCACTTTTAAAGACACAGTGTTGCTATTTTGGGATACTTCCAGTATCCCAAAAGAACAATGCAGTCTAGGTGTACCTTTAGACTGTGTCTACATTGGCCCTTATTCCGTAATAGGGATGCAAATGTAGCACTTTGGAATAGGCAAATCCGCGGGGGATTTAAATATCCCCGGTGGCATTTGCATTAACATGGCTGCCGCTTTTTTCCAGCTTGTAGATAAGCCGGAGAAAAGCGCCAGTCTGGACGCGATCCTCCGAAAAATAAGCTCTTTTCTGGAGGATCTCTTATTCCTACTTCTCCTCTTTGCCAGACGAGGCTATCATTTCTACCACCCTGCCTCTATTCGATGACTCTAAAGTTCCAAGAACTTTTTAAAAGAGTAGCTCTGGTGCAAGAATGGGACCTTCATGAAATCCAAAAGAAACAATAATGCCTTTTGTACACCTTACAGCTCCCCACATCCTCCAAGATCGCCCTCTCAAGGGATGAAGCCATTATGGAGCCTGCCAATAATATCTGACAAACCTGAGCATTCAATAACCCCACCAATAAGAAGACTGAGTGCAAATATTTTATAACACCTAAGGGCATGGACTTCCTCTTTACATACCCTCCCCCAAACTCTTTAGTAGTCGACTCAGTCAGACACAAGGCAAGACAGCCCAACATGAGATCCACACCACAGGACAAGGACCATAAATGAGGACATCATAGGGCACAAGGTCTATTCTTCAGCTACCTTGATTCTTAGAACAGTGAATTACACTGCAATGCAGTCTGATTAAGATTACTCCAACTATTTTAAACTCCAGGAGCTCTTCCAGTTTCTCCCAGAGCACAAGAGGCTGATTTTGCTCAATCTCATGGAGGAAGGGCATATCATCTCCTACATGGCATTACAATCTGCCATGGACCTGGCCAACACTGGTGCCTGGATCTCAGCTTCAGCTATCATGATGTGGAGAGCATCATCACTCCAAGCATCCAGAGTACTGAGGGACCTTCAGCAGAAGGTCGAGGACCTTCCCTTCAACAAGACCAATCTATTTGCGGTGAAAGTCCTTCCTTGGATAAGGGAGAAGCGGGGGATGTCATATACCTAGACTTTAGTAAGTCATTTCATACGGTCTCGCATGATATTCTTATTGATAAACTAGGCAAATATAACTTAGATAGGGCCACGATAAGGTGGGTGCATAATTGGCTGGATAACCGTAGTCAGAGAGTTGTTGTTAACGGTGCTAAATCCTGCTGGAAAGGGATAACAAGTGGAGTTCCGCAAGGGTCTGTTTTGGGACCCGTACTGTTCAATATCTTCATCAATGATGTAGATATTGGGATAGAGAGTACGCTTATTAAGTTTGCAGATGATACCAAACTGGGTGGGGTTGCAACTTCTTTGGAGGATAGGGACATAATTCAAAATGACCTTAGCAAGTTAGAGAAATGGTCAGAGGTAAACAAGATGAGGTTTAATAAAGTGAAATGCAAAGTGCTCCACTTAGGAAGGAACAATAAGTTCCATACATACAAGATGAGAAGCGACTGTCTAGGAAGGAGCATGGCGGAAAGGGATCTAGGGGGCATAGTGGACCACAAGTTGAATATGAGTCAACCGTGTGATGCTGTTGCAAAAAAAGCAAATATGATTCTAGGTTGTATCAACAGGTGTGTTGTAAGCAAACCTCGTGAAGTCATTCTGCCGCTCTACTCTGCACTAGTTAGGCCTCAGCTGGAGTACTGTGTCCAGTTCTGGGCGCCACATTTCAAGAAAAATGTGGAGAAAATGGAAAGGGTACAGAGAAGAGTGACAAGAATGATTAAAGGTTTAGAGAACATGACCTATGAAGCCAGGCTTCATGAACTGGGCTTGTTTAGTTTGGAAAAAAGAAGATTAAGGGGGGACATGATAGCGGTTTTCAAATATCTAAAAGGGTGTCACAAGGAGGAAGGAGAAAATTTGTTCCTCTTGGTTACTGAGGACAGGACAAGGAGTAATGGGCTTAAAGTGCAGCAGGGGAGGTTTAGATTGGACATTAGGAAAAAATTCCTAACTGTCAGGGTGGTCAAATATTGGAATAAATTGCCAATGGAGGTGGTGGAATCTCCCTCTCTGGAGATATTTAAGAACAGGTTAGATAGACATCTGTCAGGGATGGTGTAGACGGAGCTTGATCCTGCTTTGAGGGCGGGGGGCTGGACTCAATGACCTCGCGAGGTCCCTTCCAGTCCTATTATTCTATGATTCTATGAAGGACTCCCACACAACCCTCCAGACTCTGGGCATGTATACTCCCCCTTTCAAGAGAATAAGATATAACACCTTCCGAAGGCTCAGGGAATCATTCAGACCATAATCCAGATATGACTTCTGCCAGAAACACCAGCCTCAACTGCACAGACCTCAGCACCAACAGCAGCAACCCTCAACATCTAAACCTTCTTCACCAAAGCAGCAGATTTGAAGGTTTGGTCAAGAGCCAGAAAGATGTCCCCACTGCTGTCACACCACCAACTAGACAGCTACAATTCAACCACTGCCTCCAGACCTTTTTACACCAATGGGCACAAATAACATCAGACCTATGGGTACTGGAGCTCATCAAAGTTGGTTATTCCATCCCCTTCATTGCTCTTTCTCCTACTCACCGTCCCTCCCCGAGACCCTCCTTCAGCAAGATGTCCTCTACCTTCTACAAATAGGTGCTGATAGAGCTAGTACCAACATCCTTCCTAACTCAGAAGAAGAATGGCAGATGGAGACCCATTTTGGATTTAAGGAGGCTCAACAAGTATGTCACATACAAACGGTTCGAGATGGTGACACTAGGAACAATTATTCCAGCATTAGATCAAGGTGATTGGCTTCTGGCTCTCAACCTTCAGGATGCTTATTTTCATATAACAGTACATCCTGCTCACAGGCATTTTCTACGATTTACAGTTGGGAGCCAATATTATCAATAATGAGTGCTTCCTTTCAGACTTTCAACAGTTCCCAGAGTTTTTTCCAAGACTCTAGCTGTTGTGGTGGTGTTCCTATGCTGTCAAGGAGTCAAAATATTCCCATACCTGGATGATTGTCTCATAAAAGGCACATCCATCTGGGAAATGCAAGACATTATTAACATCGCCTTCTACATTGTCTCGGTTTCCGTATAAACTACTAGAAGTCCACCCCAACCTACTCAAACTGTAGAATTTATAGGCACACACGTTGACATTGTTGCAGCCAGGGCAACCTTACCCATGGACATATTTGAGGCCCTTTACAACCTCATAATGGTGGCACGTGTGACTGCTACTACAACAGTCCTCGAATGCCTCAAGATCCTAGGTCACATGGCTGCTGCCAGCTATGTGGTCCAATTGGCCAGGCTATACATGAAGTGCCTCTAATCCTGGCTGGCCACACCCCTTCCAATGACCCCCTTTCCAAGATGGACACCATCCCACAATGTGTCCTCAGTTCATTAGAATGGTGGATGCATCCACACAATGTACAATGCGGTGTACCATTTCATCAACAGACCCCGACAGTCACCATCATGACCAATGCATCCCTCATTGGATGGGGAGCTTGGAATCCACACCGTACAAGGCAAATGGTCCTTCAGCAAACAAATGCTCCACATCAGTCTCCGAGAACTCAGGGCTGTGCGCTATGCATGCCTCCACTTTCTGTGCCACAAAGCTCACCGGACAACTAGTATCATGACAGACAACACAACTTGCATGCATTATTTTAACTGACAGGATGGGGCCCAGTCACCCTCCCTCTATACTGAAGCTCTCAAATTATGGAACTGGTGCCTTGCACACCAAATTGCCCCCATAGCCACGTACCTCCCAGGGGTACTGAATGTTACAGTAACATTCTCAGCCACAATTTTTATGGTCATCATGAATGGGAGATAGATGCCCAAGCCCTTAATCAAGTTTTTCTTCGATGGGGATCAACAGATATAGAGCTCTTTGCAACCAGAGCCAACCAAAAATGTCACCTTTATTGCTCCAGAGCAGCCCTCCCATTGAAACTTTCTCCCTCAAATGGGACGTATCTTTGCTGTATGCGTTCATGCTACTCCTCTTGCTCTGCAAGATTATTACCAAGATCAGAATAGAATAAGCCTGTGTGCCTCAAATGGGTGAAATCAAGACTTTCAGTAATCTCTTCCCATCTTTCCAAGTGTGCCAAATTCAAGGACTCAAATAGTGTAGTGTTTTTATCTAGGTCCCTGCTCCTTTCTTATCTCCTCAGGAGAGACTCAGATTCTCTTATTTAGGAGAGATTGAAAGCCTTGTGGTAACCACATGGGATGTACTTCTTTGCAGTGAATTACTGAATGTCTGTAAAATGGCCATATTTCTAGGCATCAGTTTAAGCCATGGGATCTAATGTTCTGTTTTCAAAGTATAGATGAGCCAGTCAGCCTTATGGAAATTCCAATACAGCTTTGGCACATCCAGGCTGTTCTAGATGATAATTGGGCAATGATGGCTATGTGGGAAGTGACTCGATAGATGGCTCTTATGGCAAGTGGAATGTTTGTGCTGTCATGGGCTACAAAACATGTAATGGTTGTGATCCATTGTCAACTCACAGACCAATAAGATTTCAATTGTTTTAGATCATAGACCAGGTGGAAGTCTTCGAGGGAGGCCCATTCAGTGCTCTGTTCCCCAGCTATATCATTTGAGCAATATCCCCAGTCTTTGTACATGTCTGGATGAGGAATGGAAGGGAAGATGGGATCAGGCTGCATTATGTTAAGTGACTTGTATATGTTAACTATAATGATGTCCCTGACACTAACTTTGCTGATCTCTCCTTCACTTGTTGATGATTCTTCCAAAATTAAGATAACCACAAACATTGTTACCTCTCATCTTTCTAACAGCAAGTTGTGAACTGAGAAAATTATGTGCCAGATGTTCCAGTGGATATTCCAAATAAACCTTCACCAATGTCTGGAGGAATCTCCCCTCTTCTCTGCATACTCTGTGTCGCAGATTATGTCCCTGGGTCCTGTGACCAAAATTAATTCGCGGGACTGAGGCTCGACCCGGATTCCATTTATTGTGCAAACACCATTCCCATCAGATTACAATCATCCCATATGTTACATCTGAGTACATATAATTGACATCTTCATCGAGACTAGCCTTATAACAGGTGATTCAAGCCCTGGAAGGGGGAAGGGGGACTCGGGCCCGCCCTTTCTCCTGAGTCCCAACCCAGGGCCCTAAGGATAGGGAACTTTTGTCCCTACCCAGCAGATGGGGTCACAGCTCCTAAACCACCCACTCACAGGTTCCACAGCTCTACCCTGGGTTGCTTCCTTCTCCCTCTCATCTCCGAGGACCACCCCCCCTTGGAGCAACTCACTGCCTCCTTCTCCCCGTTGTCCATTTTTGCTCCCCAGTTCCCCCGTCCTCTCCCTTGCGGGGCTCCTTTTGAGCTCCCCGCTGCCTCTGTGGGGTCCATCATCATGCTGCAACCAGCATACTCCTCACTGGCGTGGCGAGTGATGTCATCCAGCCATGCCCCCGCCTGCGCATCTCTGGCATTCAGATGGCCCATGCCGTTCTCTGTCCTGGCCATTCCAGACCCCCCGGTGGGCACCATTTCACCGCACAGTGCCCGGCTGGTGTTTGTTCAGGACACTTCCCTCTGGAGTCCCCGGCCATGGTTCCCCCAAGTGCAGGGCAATGGCGCCCCCTCTCACTCTATTTCAAAGAGCAATGTTGTACTGTCAAAAACGAAAAGCTAGAAAGCTAATGGGGTTTATAGCATTTCTTCAGAGTTTCTCTCAAGAACTTGGGGAGATAGGGACAGGAATTGCTGGGTGCACTCTTTACTACTGTGCATAGAACCAGAGAATTGCCAAGAAGTTGGCAACAGGCAACAGTGGTCGCCCTACTGAAGCCTGAGAAACTCTAAAAGGATGCAACCAGGCTACTGTCCCATCTCTCTACTTTCAGTGACCAGCATGCTCATGGAATGGGCACTGCTTCACCATTTGTCTGACACTATCAAAAACATCCTCAGAATGGAGCAGGAAGGATTTTGCCTAAACAGGAACTTCTGTGATCAAGTGGCTTCACTTACCAGCCTTAGTGACAGGATTCCAATCTAAATTGAAGACAGGGATTGCCCTTATTCATTAGTCCTTGACATTCAACACCAGAAGACAGGGGCTCCTCCTGCTGTGTTATTTCACCTGTTATTCACTGTCTATTGATAACAAGGACTAGGGACTGTTGTTTTAAGGTACACCTTAATAGCCAAATCAGCAGACCAAGAACTTTAACTCGGGCATCCCTCAGGACTCTATCATGGCCCAGATATTTTCTAACCAATACACCATGTATCTACCAACAAAGGAGTCAAGGAAATTTGTGTATGCAGATGACATTGTCCTAGCTGCTCCGTACACAAGCCTCCATACCCTAAGCTGCACCCTGATCCAAGATAATTGCAGAATGGTTAGCTATTGCCAACGTTGGAATCTTAGGCCTTGCCCAGAAAATAAGTGATAATTGCTTTCTATCTGAACAATAATGGCTAATACCAAACTTGATGTACAGTTCTGTAGTGAAAACTTTAGCCATCAGGCTAAACTAAAGTATCTTAGAATTACACTGGCCCAGTGTTTGACCTTCTGACAAGATTTCAAGGACACCTGTGAAAAGGTCAGGTCTTGTGTTGCGCTTATCAAAGAACTGGACAGAACATAATGGGGCTCCAGGCCACATATCCTATGAACCACAACAACTGCCTTCGTATATTCTGTATCTGAATAGTGTGTTCCATATGGTCTCGCAGCATTCACACTAAACTCCTTCTCAGTAATGTCATGCATTATTGAGACACTGATCCCCTACACACTTAACCTCAATATTGAGGCTCAGTAGAAAGCCACATGAAGCGATGGAGTGTTTTGACCGCTCAAAGCAAACAGTTCATCATCGACCCTGACAAGAAACTCACTGAGTATTGACTTGTGTTGAAAAGAGTGGTTCAGATTGAATCACATCAGGGTATCTCATGGGAGATATGGATAAACCTCTTTAAATGGAAAATGAGACAAACATGTATACAACAGTATCTATCAAACCTAAATATAGATTTGTAATCGTTGCTAACAACCAAGGCATAGGAAAGAATAAGAAATGACTTAACCTTTTAATATGGTCCCAGCTCTCAGCAGAAGACACTTCAGTATAGATGTTTCCAGTTGCTTCTGATGAGGCAGACTTCAGTAAGTAACTCTAGATAGATGGATATTTATGTTACGAGAAAACATGTTTACAAGTAAGAACATCATGTTTTGTTATAAATCTAAATATAGACCACTTTTACTTAGCCTGCAATTATTTACAGCAATAGAGAACAGTTTAATATCAATTGAACATTTTGTATCCTTTCCTGTGTTTTGTAATATAGAGGTGGAAGATATCCAGATATCGATGGATATTCATATGGAGACAATCTGTGCACGCGTAGTGCCTCAGTAGCTACTGTCAGAGTACGTTAAATTTAAATATAGTCCAGAGTATGTACACTTCAAAATGCTATTTTAATTCATGTAAATATTTTCCAGTAACATTATGCTAATAATTGATTGTTTCATAGCTTTTGAGCCTAGAACTAGTAGATCACCTAGACTCACTTCCTGTATATTACAGGGCATTAAATTTCACCCAGTTACCCCTCTATAAAGCCAAATGACTTTAGTCAGATCAAAGCCTTTAAATCCTTAGATGACTAAACTGTTGTGTGTGACATGCCACTAGGGCTTCTGCAATAGCAGAGAATTTACTGGGAGAGCTATGCTTAGATTATCCCAGCATGTGATCCATGCCCCATGCTACAGAAGAAGTAGGAAACAAACTCAAGGTCCCTGCCAAGTAGATCTGGGGGAAAATGCCTTCCTTAATATCAATTGATTGTTTGGACCCTAAGCATATAAACAACACATACCAGCCAGTCAACTAAGAAGGACTTCCTTTATCTTCTCAAAGTCCTTATCTCCCTCCTCCAGTGTCTTATCTCAAGCAGTGGTAACTGGATACATTCTGATGCTTCAGAAGAAGATGGAAAAATACTCAGAGTATATTTGATCAATTGTATATTTTTGGGGAAGAGAAAATCCTTCCTGACCACTGCAAACAGCAATCTGAACCCCTAGGGTATTTAATTTGATTATATTCCTTTTCCTAATGCAGAGCTGCAAGTGTTATGAGTATGATGAGGGCAGTGCAGAGATTTCTCTTCTTCCCATGACTCATGAAGAGAAGTAATGGCCATAGAATTTCTCCCAGATTCTTGATTAAAGCATATCTTTTAGAAAGATATCTAATCACCAGGAATTTGCAACTTATTTTAAGGTTGAATTTGTCTAACCTCAACTTTCAGTCATTGGATCTTGGTATGGTTTTGTCAGTA